ATGTACTTACAGCATAGAGTATGTGCAGCCAAAGTTGACAAACAGGTTGAATAATTTTCAGTGCTGTTGACTGAAAACACTGTCTCAGGATTGTGTGTTAATGTAACAGATCAGCAGATCCAAGACAGGCACATCCTAAAATAATAAAAGTGATGTCTTCATAAATAAGGAAGTACATACTTCAGATCTTTCTTCAGCAGTGCATGTGACTGGCGTTTTTTTGTTTGTGTGCGCGTGCAGTTTTGTAAAAGTGTACATTTCAAAGTGCGTGTGTGCACATTTGTGAAAGTCTGCAGTTCCGCCTTTCAAAAGTGTGTGCGTGCACATGCATGCATGTGTGTGCACATTTGTAAAAACGTGCAATTCATTAGTGTGTGTACATGTGTGTATGCGCCTGCACATTTGTAAAAGTGCATTACAAAGTGTGTGTGAGCATGTGCATGGTATGTGTCCGTGCGTGTACACATCTGTAAAAGTGTGCATTTCTGTATTTCAAAAGTGTGTGCGTTTGTATGTGGTTGTTTGTAAAGATGTGCATTTCTGCTTGTGTGTGTGCGTGTCTGCATGTGCATGTATGTGTGGATGTTTGTCAAATTCAAAGTGTGTCTAAAGTGTGTATGTGTTCATGCTTGTGAGCACTTTTGTAAAAGTGTGCATTTCTGCATTTCAATATGCGTACTACATGCATGTATATGTGTGTGCGTCCACATTTATAAAAAAAGTGTGTATTTCTGCATTTCAAAAGTGTGTGTGAGTGTGTGCCCACACACATTTGGGTTTATCTACAAAATCATTCTCTATTTTTCAAAAAATGTTGTAAATGCATTATATAATTCTAACTCTGATTGTGCCTCACACAAGTGAATAGGCTTGATTAACCACCTGTAGAAAACACTCTTTCATCTCTGACACTGTGTGTGTGCGCGTGCGTGTGTGTGTGTGTGTGTAATCTGGTCAGTGTTTTCCTGCTCTTCAGTGGTCAGTCAGTATAGTGTTGTCCGCTGTGGGCAGTGCTGATCCGCTGGGCATCATGCCAGTCTCTGCTCCACACAGCTGCTGCGGGGAACTGGGCTGTAGGCATAATTCAGGTCACCAGCATTCATTGACCCAATTGATTCATATTTTATAATATTGACTTTAAAATATAATAAGCCATAGACTCAAATCATTCATATCCTAAATGCATTTTTTATTTGTTTTAATTAATAAAAATGTAATAAAATAAACTGATGAATTTCATAAATATTAAATAATTAATTTAAATGTTTTTTTTTTTTGTTTTGTTTTTTTGCTACAATGGAAAAAAGATGTATTGGATTTAGAAATGATTGCAAACAATTTATATGGGCTGAATTTAAACAAGCAAATTAAATCTAGTAATGTACAACTTAATTAGTTTGTTTAAACTCAGCACATATAAATTGTTTGCATCCACATACCTTTAAAAAATGTAGTCAATTCAATTCACAATTTTTCCAGCATGATTTATGAAAAACAAGCGTTTTTCACAATATACTCTTCTAACTTTTTATTGAAGAAAATAAAGACATTTAGAGTATATTTTACATGCATTTATATTATGTAAAACCTTATAAAAGCACGTTTGTAAGCTGCTGTAAACAGACTAATTATAAAAAGAAAGACAGTAGCTATGTTTCCATCCAGGGATGTAAATTAAATGTACATATAAATCCGGAATATCACATAAAAGACATGCAAATAAAGCAGCGTTTACATCCAATGAGTCAAAGAAAACAAAATCATCATTTCATGATTAACTAGCGACAAATATTAAAATAAAAAACTTTAGAATTATTTTCTTTATTTAATTAATGTAATGTAATATAATGTAATATAATATAATATATAGTTTAATGTAATGTAATGTAATATAATATATAATTTAACATAATATAATAATATAATATAATATATAATTTAATATAATGTATTATATAATGTAATGTAATATAATATATAATTTAATATATTATAATAATATAATATAATTTAATATAATGTAATGTAATATAATATATAATTGAATATAATATTATAATATAATATAATATATAATTTAATATAATGTATTATATAACGTAATGTAATATAATATATATTATATAATTTAATATAATATATAATATAATTTAATGTAATATAATATATGATAAAATATATAATTTAATATAATAGAATATAATATAAAGTAATATGTTTAAACATTATTTTTCACATATACAATACATATTTTCATTAATGTTTAAAAAAAACACTCCAGCATTTTGCCTGCTAAAAATGAAAAACGAAACCATTCAAATTGAAAATATAGATATTGTTTGTATTGTTTCATTAATCATTCTGTATTAATTTTGTTAAAAAAATACTTTTAATCCATTACTTTAAATCCATTACTTTTTTTAAATAATAATGTTAGTTCTTAACATAAATTTGTGTGCATGTGTGTGTTTAAACTCTGCTACTTGAACGCCTAACCCTCCAAACAGACACACACACACACACACACACACACACACACACACACACACACACACACACACATATAGGAAATGACTCAATCCCATTGAAAACTCCTCTGTTTGCACACGCTCACCACGAGTCTACACATTTCCTCAATAACCACATTAATATTACAGACTGCGTGACCAGCTGCCCATAAAGCTCTCACATTCACAGTTTTGCCCTCTTTTTCTTTTTTTCCCTCCATCTTCCAGGTTTCTCTCCTCCCACACAGCTCCATCTTTTATTAATCTGCTCCTCCATACGTCTCCATTCAGATTCAAGAGGCTCTTCTGTATAAAAGACGCCGCTTCAAAAGACTAACACACAATACAACGGCGGCGTCTCTGATGAGCTTTCTGTACTGTTCATGCAGCCTGCTCAATCTCTGCATGTGTGTGTGTGCTGCATTTGACACCACAAGGATATTGAGCATGTGTTTTAGTATTGGGTGTTTGGGGTCTGAACTGTGGGTTTCTTTTTCCTGGTTTGCATTTGTGTCCTTGCTTCCTCATGGCGTGTGTGCGCGCGCTATGGCTGCACAGTATATTATACTATAATTCAGACAAATGCAGAAGACAAATGCAGCTAGTAAAGAAAGAATTTGAAGGTGTGAAATGTGGCGTACAGACGCTCTTGACAATTCTGGAGGTCATTAAAATATAATAAAGAAATGGTAAAAATGCTGGCCGAAATGGTAAAAATGCAATCTCGGTATTTATTTTCCATATTGAATGATAATGTTATATATTCGAGATTTTAGAGTACCACAACAATGACTGAAGCCACAAAAATTTGAGGGTCCATTAAATGGTTGCCGAAAATACGATAGATCTTTAATATCAACACACTTTTGGATTCCCATTGTTGCACATTTCTGCAGTGTGATTGGCTCTTAGATCAATGTAGAGTAAAAAGTCAAAAGCTTATCACTGTTATTGACATAAATTTTATCGCGATTCCATATAATTTTGTTTAGCGGCCCAGCCCTAAAACTAATACTGAAATGGTTGAAGACCAAATGACCAAAACAACATTTCAGATGCTTTACAATGTGCTCAGCCTGCTGGATTATCTATTCACGCACATTTTTATCATCACATGATCTCTTATAACAGGATCACATGACTTTTTTTAATGCGCATACTGGAATTTGTTCGGTAACAGTGTTTTCATCGTAGTTTATCTTTTCTTATTGAATAAAAAGTCTATCCTACTCAGTTATTTGCATGCTTTTTTTGTGCACATTTCTAAAATTTATGTGCATCTTGCTATTTCCATCAACCCATTTATAATACACATATCTAATATGCGCATAAAAATAGGTGGATGGAAACAGCTAATGAAGACAACATGTAGTGTTATTTTATTTATGTTAGTTTATTGTTGAATCTCTCATCCTCAATACTGTTAAACTCAACCGAAAACCCTAAAGCAAGGTTTATTTAATTTTTTATCATTGTTCTTGTTTTGATCCATGCTTTAGTTTGCTGATTTTATGTATTTTGGAGTATTTTTGTGTATTTTATGCACATGCACTCACCCATAATATAAAAAATTATTATTATTATTATTTGTCAAATACGTTGTATTTTGTCATTGAATAGACTTACAATAATCACAGGTTCAATATTATTATTTTTATATTTTAATATATTATTTTTTTTACATATTTATATATGATATATTTTATAATCTATACATTTATGTATTATTATTAATAATAATAATAATAATACTTCTAATAATAATAATAATAATAATAATAATAGAACATTATATAATTTAAATTACAAAATAATTGTATTAAATACAATTTGATGATGAATAAATAACGTTTAAGATTTTTCATGAACTTTATTTGTATTAGCATAATTCAAAAAGCATCTATATAGAAATACAGATTGTTTTAAAAATATGTAAAAACTAGTATACATTTTGTCAATGGTTCCTTCAAGCATCTGCCCCCTAGTGTTTGCAAAACGGCATAGCCAACAATAACAAATTCCAGTAATGGGACAACACAACTTGTCTTTATTAATTCATTAATTTTCCTTCGGCTTAGTCCCTTTATTAATTTTAATTTTAAGTCGCCACAGAGGAATCTGCCAGCATATGTTTTACACAGCAGATGTCCTTCTAGTCGCAACACAGTACTGGGAAACATCCATGCACATTCATTCACAAAAACACACATACACCACAGCCAATTTAGTTTATTCCATTCATTTATAGCGCATTTGTTTGGACAGTGGGGGAAAGCAGAGCACCCGGAGGCAACCCACGCCAACACGGGGGGAACATGCAAACACAGAAATGCCAACTGACTCAGCCCAGACTCGAGCCAGCGATTTGCAGTGAGGTGACAGTGCTAACCACTGAGCACCATGTTTCAGCTTGTATTTATTTATTTTTTCAGTAGGAATCAAGATCAAGTCTTTATTTGAATAATAAATGGTCTTTCTCTTTCCTCTCCTCAGAGCTCAACATGGAGTACAATCCTTCAGATCATCCTCGCGCCAGCACCATCTTCCTCAGCAAGTCTCAGACTGACGGTGAGACACACAAACACACAGACTCGTGTTTTCAGAAGGTTAATTAAAACAAAACTACACTCGAATCAGCCAAACCAATCAGGAGGCAGCGGCACAGATGGCCCAAACATTCCCTCCTTTCAGTAATAGTTTGATTTAACAGCAAACACGGTTTCCCGGTTTCCACTCAGGCTAAAGTTCTGACAATTTCTGAAATTTCTGCTTTCTTTAAATGCAATGTTTTCTGACTGTGGTCCATCAGACGTCTTGTGGTTTCCACCAACATTATAAAGGCGCTATTCAGTAATACAAACACAATTAGAGGCGTATGAACTGAAAAGTCAAGCACAAGAAGATGCCAGCCTTGTTATCCATGCTCCGATTTAATTTAGAAACCTTCTTGTTTTTCAGTTCTTTTGCCCAACAAGAAAGGTACGTTTGATCTCAGCGTGTTTGTTAGTCTGCTGCTGTGTCGTCTTCAAGCTTTTTTTCCAATGCAGAATGTCTGTACTTTTGCATTTTATTACGCTGCAAGCTGTTATTTGTTCAGGAATTCACTTTGCTAATTTTGTAGTTAGCTAACAGAAGTAGCTGACTGCTTCGCTAGACGCTTAATTGAGCAACAACCCTTTCCTTTTAATGTCATTTTAAAACATAATGGCAGTGTTTTCTGATGCCATTAAACTCGTTTGCGCTCAACTGAGCTCCATTAGGGGCTCTTGCATGTTGACGTGTCAGTGAATCTGTCCCGTTTGTCTGGCTGCGCAGGTTTCTGTTCGCTCTGCTGTCGTGTGAAGGTCTATAGTGCTCTAAAGTCATCAAACGGATTCCGATGTAAAGTACTGTTGTCAAAAGGATCAAGTTCAGTACCGATTAGTACTGCAATGTTTCAAATCGGCCATTTATTGCTAACATTTCAGGCATGTTGAGCGCATACTTAAACTTAGTAGATTGGCCACTGTTTGCAAGCTCAACAGAAATAGAAGTGTGAAAATGGACGTTTTAAAATTACAGTATTGTTTGATACCAAACTCGATACTTTTGACAACACTAATGTGTAGTCAAACTGCTTATATCTGAAAAGAAACTGACTTGCCACTCTGAGTTGTTTTTCTTGCTAACATGTGTCCAAATACGACAAAACTAGCCAGTAGCCAACTAAATTACATCTTAGCAAAAGGAAAAACTCCATGATTTACAGCTACTAGATAGGGGCGTTAATCTGTAGGGACTTCACGATCTGAATCTGGAAGTCACGATTTGATTCCAAAATTGGCTTACATTTCCAATTTCTTTGGCTGTACAAATTAGGGGTTGATGATATGAGCTATAATTCATATCACACTATTTTTCTCTGTATAGATGATATCGATATTTTATCGTGGTTTGATAATTGCTAGTCACACTGCAAGACGCTTAATTGAGCAACAGCAGTTTTTTTAATGTCATTTTAAAACATAATGGCAGTGTTTTCAGATGCCATTAAACTCGTTTGCGCTTAACTGAGCTCCATCAGGGGCTCTTGCATGTTGACATGTTAGTGAATCTGTCCCGTTTGTCTGGCTGCGCAGGTTTTTGTTCACTCTGCTGTTGTCTGAAGGTCTTTAGTGTTCTAAAGGTATCATATGGATTCAGATGTAAAGTAGTGTTGTCAAAAGTATCGAGTTCAGTACAGGTCGGTACTGCAATGTTTAAAACGGCCATTTACTCTACATGCACACTCATTACAGTGAGATTGTATGATGTTGCTGAATGAGCGTCTGTCAACAAACCCAAATAAGACACACATCCCAACCATTTACATTGACGGACTCCCAATTCATCTGTTAGGTGTGCCAAGGTATTTCAAATGCAAACAATCATTGGTTACTCTGTGTATCAGCCTAGCTTTCAGTGTTGTCTCAAAGGCAAATGTTTATCTGTAAATATAGGTAGGTGTTGCGCATTTGTGTGCGCTAGAATCATTTCTTAAAACTTTAGCAAAAAAAAAAAAAAGCTTTGTATAAATGTTAGAATATGGTTACATGTGTATACACTAAACATTTTTGTATAGAAATCACAACCCGCACATACAAGAGGACTTTATATGAGCATTCACTTATCAATTCTTGTCCCCTGCCGCACTCAATGCATTTGCTCCCGGGAGTGCAGGTTTGTAATATGAACCCCATTGGACAAGGATGAATCTTTCTAATTCACAAGATTGTGTGTTAGACTGTGTACATAATGCTAGCATGCACAAATTATACTTTAGACCAAAGTGGACCAGACTTGATGCTAATAAGTCTCTCAATGTAAAACAAGCCAGAGTTTTTTTATTTCAGAGAAGCATTTCAGAAAGACCAATCACAGCAGATTTTGCTCTGTCTGCCCCTCAAATGAATGAAATGGCGACTAACAGTTTGCTAGATATTTCCGTCTTGATGTTAATTGTGGCCCGTGTGTTTTTGTCTAAGTAACTTCCAACTGTTGTACACGTGTTGCTAATTATGGCCTTCTCTTTACAGTTCGGGAAAAACGGAAAAGCCTGTATGTCAACCATGTAAGTAACTACAGGATTGACGACTGGTAGTGTATTTCTAATTGTGCTTGTGTCTACAATAAAGACATCACTTCACCCACAAAACAAATCAAATCAACACGCCACCACCACCATAGGAGAATGCAGAACGCAGAATTGCATGAGGCTTTTAGTTTGCATCAGTAACAGCTGTTCTTTTGTTTTCTGATAGAACTGATTTCAAATGCACGGCTTGGTTTTCTTCATTTCATTAGCGCATGCTATTCATACTAAATGTGCAATGAATAGCTGCTGTTTTGTTCCCATTTTAATGTCTTTTATTGCTTTGCAAGTTAACGCACATTGCGGAGTCAAAGGTAAATATTTGCTCATTGCTCTACTCTTTCCTTTCCTTAAACTGTTGTGTCTCTTTTGACATTGATTTATTGATTTATTAAAGGGTTCACCTTGGTAATGAAAATTATGTCATCATGTACTCTTTTTCCACTTGTTCCAAATCTGTTTAACACAAAATCATATTTTCTTAAAGAATGTTGGAAACTGGTGGCCACTGGATCATATTATTTTCTTTTTCTAATATGGATGTTAATAGTCACGCCTGGTTTTAGACCACAACAATTACCAAGTGTCACATTACCTTCCCTTGTTTGTCGCAAATTACGTGACATCAACCGGACGTGGACAAATTACATGACATCACGTGGACTGAGCATGCTGTTGTTAATATTAAAAGGAACACAAATATATTTATGCTTTTTTGGAGTCAAACACTTTAAACAAAGCTTGAACAAAATTTAAGGCCACGTAAAAACTCAATTAAGACTTTTAAAAACCTTTTAAGGGCCTTAATTTTCTCATAATTGATTTGTCAACTTTTAATACTTTTTAAGACACCTTGTTTTGGATCTCCATCTGCTAAAAGCCACCATGTGTTCTTTTGTGTTTGGTCATAATAAGCTTACATAATTTATCATATAAGAAAAAAGGCCCACAGCGGCTTCTACCTCTGCTGTAAATTACATTTTCCTTTTGATATTTGGCACATATTTTCCAGAAAGTGATGATTTTGTTCTCTTTGACTTACTGGATAAAAACGCTGCTTCATTTGCATCGGTATTCCAGTTTTGCACATAAGTTTGAATGCAATTAAAGCTACCAGTCTCCAACATTTTCCCCTAATTATCTTCTTTTGCATACAAAGAAAGGAATTCAAACATGTTTACAACAAGTGGAGGATGAGTAGCCTAACTGATGACAGAGCCTTTATTTTTGGTTGAACTGTCCCTTTAATGTGGCTTATCCGTTTGATATCTTGCTATAAATTTGTTAGCAAGTTGCATAATACTTTAGTGTGTTGTTTGTTGTACTGGGCAGGGATTCTTACTAACACACACACACACATTCACATACTCATTAAGCTAGTCACTCTGGTATAAATGAGATGATAATGGCTTGTTTGGGGCTGCAGGTGGCCTAATTTGCAGTCTGTTTGCTGAATCTGTGTGTGTGCATGAGAGTGACTGATGTTTAGTTTGTAATTTTGTGTGTGTCCTTGTCTTTTAGCAACATCCGTCTGGTCCAATGAGACGGAAGTACAGCTCATGTTCGACGATCTTCCTAGACGACAGCACCGTCAGCCAACCCAACCTCAAATACACCATCAAATGGTACTAGAAACCTCCATATAACAGTAATAGAGCTGCGTTTCATTCATTTTCAAAGTTTAAAATGGCTTTTTTTAGGCAGTGAAACAAGGTTTTGATTTGCACAAGAAGAAATTAAGGCTTGCAACTTTCCTAAGCAGTGTTTATATATAATAACTGCAACACATCTGAGCTGATTCAGTGAGGAAGTGAGCTATCTGGCAGATTTTTATGTTAATGTTATACATTTTCCTCATGTGTACTCACTTGTTCTCTCTCTGTGTAACAGTGCCCTCTGGTTACATGCATGTATGAATTAATGTCATATAATCATATCTGTACTTTTAATGTTTTAATAAGCATACATACAATTCCTGTATATTGCAAAACCTTCTTAATAGCATGCTAACAACATTAAATAAAAAATATATTATTATTAAATTATTAGTAGTAGTAGTATTACTAATACCAGCATATCACTGCGATTTCATATTATTATTATTTATGTTTTTTATATTATTATTTATGTTTTTTACATTTGTTAGTTAGTTCTTCTGCTTGATCAACATGTACAGTCTGCTTTTTTATGTGCATTTTATGGTGATTAAAATGTTCAGTTTAGTCTTAATGTAATATAGGTATATTATTGATACATTGTCAATGTTTGACTAATATTTTGTTGTGTTTGCAGTGTCGCCCTCGCAATATACTACCACATAAAGAACAGGTATGTCTGAGATGACTCTCATCAGATCAGTGTGGGAGCCAAGGGAAGTGTGTGTGTGTGTGTGTGTGTGTGTGTGTTTGAATGATTCCACAACAGTATGAAAGGATGGTTTTGTTTTTGAGGATTGGATTGATGAAGTCCTGCAGTGTGTCGCTCTTTACAAAAACACACTGGAGTTTCATTTTACCAAGAGAGATCCTAATTCACTGGTCCACATGTGCTGCGGTGCACTGTGGGAGAGATTGATTGTCTGGTCTGCTAGTTCAGAGTGACAGACCTGTTTAGGAAAATGTCTATCAGTATGATTTGTACAATGAACTGTTTGTATGAGCTTTATTTGATTGGGTTGTGTCCGTGTGGTTTCAGAATGAGGATCTTACATTGGTAAATTCCTGCTTTGTCTGTCTGACTGTCTAGCTGTCTGTCTCTTTCATTCATCTGTCTGTCTGTCTGTCTATAATCCATCTGTCGGTCTACCTATATATCTGTTTATGTCTGTCTGTCTGTCTGTCTATTTATCTATCTAATATATCTATCTGTCTGTCTATCTATCTTTCTATCTATAATATGTATCTGTCTATCTGTTTTATAATCTGTCTATCTATAATCTATCTGTCAGACGGACTATTGTATATCTGTCTGTTTGCCTGTGTCTATCTTTCTCTCTGTCTGTTTATTCTTCTGTATATTAATTAAATGTCTGTATTCTTGTCTTTATTTATTTTTTGTTTATTTATCTATCTGTGTGTCTTTCCATCCATCTAACATCATGTCTGTGCTAATCCATTCGCGTTCACTCATCTGTCAATCTGAGTCAAAACTTTATTCTGTGTCTTTTTCTCAAACCCTTAACACCATATAAACCCTTAATGCTTGATAACCTTCAAACTTCAAAGCTGTTTTAAAGAAACTTTCAGGACACGGTTTGGGCCACATTGAATGTCTATCACAACAGACGTTTCTTTCCTGGTTCTTTAATGCATTATAAGAATACAGCTTAGACTGTCTTGCTTAATCTAATACCCATTCACTCTTCTTTCAGAAATGTGGACGGGCGAATGCTGTTAGACATTTTTGATGAAAAGCTTCATCCACTTTCAGTAAGTTTATTATTATTATCATTAAAATTATTATTATTACTGCAGCTTATATAAGCTACTGAATTACTCCACCTGTCAAAAGTTTGGGATTGGAAATTATTTATTTTGATCAAAACTTATTAATAAATGTATTATTTGATCAGAAATACAGTAATAAAACAACTGTAAAATTGTGAAATATTATTACAATATAAAATAGCAAATTTCTTATTGAATATATTTTGAAATGTAATTTATTCCTGGTATTTAATGAAGCATTTTAGCACCATTACTGAATTTATTATTCAACATCATTAATGACTTTATTTTTAAGCATTATTACAGATTTTCTTTTTTTATTTAGCATCATTTATTAACATTGTCTTTGATGTCACATGATTCCTCAGAAATTATTAATATGATATGCTACAGCTCAAGAAACATTAATAGTTAATATCAGTGTGGAAACTGATATAGTATCATTTAAAAGCACCAATGCCTTTTGTTAACATTATGTACTTTTATTCATCAAGGACACATTAAATTGTTCAATTTTTCGAGTGAAACTAAATACATTTGTATTGCTGACCAAAAAAATTATAACTTTTTTTTTAGCAAATAATCATAAAAGATCACATTTATCAGTTTTACAGAAAACATTAAAGCTGGTAAAGAACGTTTTTTCAACATTGATGATTATAAGAAGCATTATTGCTGATTATGTAAATAAGCTAATTATAATGAAGTTTTATATTATTTTCTGATTAGGACTAGGGTTGGGTTGATAGACGATGCCCCGTTGCAGCAGTAACCCGCTTGTAAAAAACACACAACACCCTGTTTACACGAATACGTTTTAGTTTTAAGATGGCATTTTAGAACAAAAACGATCCACATCCATACTGGCGTTTTATTTAGCATTTCTAAAAAGCCCTTCTTCCACACTATACCACTGAAAACGCATAACACGTGACCACACACTCACACGCACGCAAACAAAAACAAACTGTCATGTGCTCTAGCATATGCGCTCGTCTGAGCTCCAGCAGTCAGCAGGTGCTTTGAGCACAAAACCCCAGAGAGCAGTCCACGTCGTACAGTTTATCAAGGATGTACGGCTGGATTGCATTTCACTATAGTTGTTAAACATTATATTTAATTAATCTTGACTCTAACTAATGACTCTTCAGTCTTTTGAATTTATCAGGTTATGTGTCACAGTGTCAGTACACTTCTTCAACCTTTTGCTTTCACGATTGTACTCATTTTAGCGAAAACCTCACATAATGTTTAGTCATTTTAATGAAAACCTCAGATAAAGCTGGTTCCTGTTGGTTGCGCATCTTTTTAACAACCCAAGTTTGTCGAAGTTAAAATTACGACACAATGACCATGCCATAGTTCATCACGATGTTTCCCATTTGACATCGTACAATGCCAAATTGGTCGACATCGCCCAACCCTAAATAGGACTGTGTGATACGTAACTCTGGATTTGTTTAATTCATTGTGCTAAAAATTCAGTTGTAAATCACAAAAAGTATTAAATTTCAAACAATAACCAAATGAACAATTGTCTTAAATTGTAAAAAATAATACAATTATTATTGTTGTTTTGGTCAATTTATGCAGCCTTGGTGAACAAAAGAAGCCTCTTAAGACAATAGTAGAAACCATTTAGGATCTTTCGAATAGTTTCCATTACAAATAACATTAAAACCTTACAATCAATCAAATCAAGTACATTATAATGGCTTCTAATGTGTTTTGGCATATATTTAATTACAAATTATTACTATATTTATTATTATATTTTAACATGCCACCAATGGAGTTATCAGTAGAGACCAATACGGACCAATAGAGATTCCATTGAAATCAATTTAATTGTGACAAAATCAATAGTTTCTCTAGTTTTTTCCCCAGCTAAATCTTGCTGTGATTCCCACAGAAATCGGAGGTGCCGTCAGACTACGACAAGCACGACCCGGAGCAGAAACAGATCTACAGATTTGTCCGAACGCTTTTCAGTGCCGCTCAGCTCACGGCCGAGTGCGCCATAGTTACTCTGGTGAGTAAGCGAACAGTCATGTGACTTCACAGCAGCCCAATGAGACTTCACCTGTCGTGTTTTGGGATAGGCTGGCAGCACAAGTTAAAACAGGGTTAGATTTACCATCAGCGAAGCGGATTTACCATCACCCAGGTTAAAATGGTTGTCATATTTACCGCTTTATTAGCAAGCGTTAAGCCCAGCAGCTGTCCTGTGTGTCTGTTCCTCTTCTGTGCTGAAATCCTTCTTTTGAAAACTCATCCTTTCTCAATGTCCTCAGTAAATACCTTTATGAGGTGTCATTAAAGCAGGCACAGACACACAAGCGGCTGTGAATGCTTTAGTTGGGATTATTAAGAAGTATGGAGGCTGTAGTCTGTGGTTAATAGGGTAATAATTAGCGGGTTAATTATTACTAATTAATTAAAGGGATAGTTCACACAAAACTGAACATTTTTTCATCGGTCATGGAATATTAAGGAGCTCTATTACAGACATTGAAAACATAATTCATATTAAAAATATATTTGTTTTTTTCCAAGTTCTGTAAATTCAGGGAATTTTTGTTTTGTCATTTTAAATTTTACTTACTTACTATTTATTAAAATGTATTTTTGTCTGGGCCTTTAATTTTTTTTTTTTTGATATTTCACATGTTTTGCCTGTTGTTATGGTTAGGCTATTTTTCACTGCCGTTTTATTCCTTGTCCTTTTTGGTGTGGTTTCCTCGCAGTAACTAAAATTAAATCGAATATCGATATTTGTCTTGGTATCGTATCGAACACTGAAAAAAAATATTCAAAGATGATTCCTTGAATTTCCTAAAGATTTTTTAAGTTCAGTAGTTGTAAACAGTTTATTTGGGCTAAATTAAAAAAAAAATAGGTTGGACATTACTAAATTGAATTTGTTTGTTTAAATTCAACACATAAAACTTGTTTGCAACAATTTCACATTTTTTTCAGTGAAGTTCAAAATTCCAGTATCGTGACATCACTAGTTGCTCCTAAAATTTGCAACAAAAACAGAACACACAGGGCATGCAGCAGTCTGGGTGGTACGCTTCTTTAGGGCTTCTCCACACCGTAACTCTCACGTATGTGGGAAAGACAGTGAAGGTGGAGTCAACAGAGAATAAATACATGGCACAGTTGTCTTTTTTCTATTCGTTATAGGTCATGGAAATTCTGCTTTTTAGCCAGAGAATTCAACATTTGGCTAATAGTAGGAACCCTCAAATAAATTATTTTGAAAAATGTTGGAAATCCGTAAGCATTGACTTTTATAGTATTTGTTTTTCCTACTCCTTTTCTTGGGGACCACTGCTTTAGAGAGTAGAGTGGCTAATATATGAGTCAAAGTCTAGGGATGTCAGAAGTAAACCAACTTATCAGACTGTAAACCATCTTTAAAGGCTTGTCTACCATATGATACCGTCACTATACCATTGTAGCACAACATTACTATATTTTGTACGCCTCCTTTTGAGTCTTAAAATCTTTATTCTGGTAAATGTATCAGTGCTTAGTTATGGAAAGCCCCAAGGCTGTGTTAGGCTCTTTGCTGAGTCCTCATTTGCTATAGCATTCAACCGTATTTTGGATGCAATGTGCTGCTATGTAGCTACAAACAGTTTTGGCGCCTCTTCTCTTAAAATAATACAATTAATGTCTGTATATGTTACACATCAAGTTGCACGTCCTGCTGTATGTACAAGCTAAATATGATCACTAGCATGTCATGGTTGACTACGTACTAAAAGTAACTCCTGAACATCAAATGAAGCACTAATTGTGGTAAGTCACTTTCAATATCAGTCTTCCTAGATATTTCGTGGCCAGAAAGAGGACAAGACAAAATGTGTTTCGACTAATAAAAATATAGGGTCACCAGAGTCGTTTTGTGTGCTTTTGATTGACATTATAGACTTCTCAGATTGTCAGATTGTGTGTCTTTGATGCTAAATGTAGACGGAGACAGATTGAGCATGTTCCTTGACCTGTTGGGGGACAACAGGTGCTGAGATGCTGCTGAAATCTGATTGGCTGCTGCTGGTGCTTCAGTGAAGGGAAACTATGAGTCACTACACACTGTGAACTTCATGGGTGGCTTTATAATTGGATGAACACACGATTAAAACATTTCCATTCATATGGCGTATGATTGCAAATATATGTAGTTTTGAAAATGAGTTCATGGAATATTTTATCGTTTTAAAAAGAAAAGAAAATCTTAATTGGTCTTACTGGCAATAATTCATCTATTATAGCAGTCATGTCTAGCCTTATTTAGGATGAGTACAAAATAGCAGAAAAAGAAGCTAAGCTAAAATAATCATACAACATATTCAAACATATTAAAACTAATAAGGTAGTTTCCTTGTGGACTACATTAAGGTATTAAAGTATATACAGCATGTAAAGCTCTGGGTTCAGAAAGTTCTCATAATATAATTCTATCCTACATGTTTTAAATGAAAATGAAGGTGTAGGTTATATAGGTGGCTTTAAAATGCAGAGCTTCTCGATGAAAAAGGTGAAAAACCAACTGAAAGTTCTGAAGGAGATCAAGCCTTAGCCAGGAAAGGAAAATTAACGCAAAAGTAACTCAAAAGTAATATAACGCATTAATTTCCATAAAAAGCTACACAGTCACTATTTTAGAGAAGTAAATCAATATTGTAATGCATCACATTCGAAAAGTACCTTTCCCCAACACTGGTCACGATTGCTTTAGTATTTCACCCTACTAATTCAGTTCTTGTTCAGCTGAGTCAAAAACATTTTCTGTTTTCATATCTCCAGGTTAGTGTTTTGTAGAAGGTGCTGACCGCTGTCCTGAGAGTGTTTTTGTGGTTTGTGATTTATGAATGGTTGGTGTGTAATTTGTGCTTTAGCTGGCATACCTGAAGTTCATCTCGTTCAGTGTGCAGGAGGTTAGATATATACAAAAACATGCTCTCATAAGCACATATTTAATGCACCGCTGCACACGGGCCGTGCAGTACAACCAATTAAACCTGCAATTTCTTTCTGACACTTTCTACAAACCAAATTGTCTTGTTATTAGATTTCTTTCCCACTGTGGGCAAACATTATTTGCCATCGTTTTCCCTTGAGTGTGTGAATGTGTTTATTGCTTCTAAATATCTCGTCTCTGTTATAAATCATGCGTTTTCAATTCATAAGGATGTCTTTGTTTGCCTATACGTCAGCAGTGATTATAAATGCTAGACACCCGTGGCTACAACATACACCATGTCAACAGAACACAGACATTAACTCAGTAAGCAATGCATGTTGATTTCCTCACAAGTACACAAAGATGAATTATTGATGTTACGCAGGCAACCATTACAAGCTTGTACATATAGCAGGATACTTTGTGTAACTTTTACAGACGTGAATTATACGATTTCAAAATATTGTGTAGTTTTAAGAGGTGCTAAAACTGCTTGTAATTGCATAGCTGCACATTGCATCCAAAATATGATTGAATATGATAGTAAATGAGGGCTTAGCAAGGGTCCTAACACAGAACCTTGTGGCACCCCATAACTAAACACTGATAGATTTGCTGAAATAAAGTTTTTAAAGGGCATCTGTGATGAAAAATCGACTTTTCAAGCCGTTTGGACAGACATGTCTGTAGGTAGTGTATAGACCGTCATATTGGGGTGATATAAACACATCCAGTCCTTTTTTTTTCAATTTAACAACATACAAACAGTAGAGAGTTGGAGTGGTTTTGAGACCGACTGCAACTTGATGTAGGAGTGCGATTCCCCCCGCCCACCAATATTGATTGACTGCGCATTACCATATCCTCAGTTTGTTGTTTCACACCTGCCATTTCCTGCGTGTAAGTCGAAGCAATGTCACCAAAGGAACAGCCTTGTAACGAGGCGTACAACATATATTGATTTAGTGCTACAATGGTATTGTAATGGTATCAAATGGTAGACAAGCCTTTAATGTTGGTTTACAGTCTGATCAGTATGACCGAATGTATAAAACTGAAGCTGTAATTCTGCTTCTGCAATACAGAAGGATCATATTGAATGTAACTGATTTGAATTTAACATTTGCATTGTGCTTTTCAGGAAGATATCTTATATATATATATATATATATATATATATATATATATATATATATATATATATGTATATATATAAACTATTTCTCATTCTGGTAAAATCATAATCCTTTGTTTTCTAATACTATTTTCAAGAATCAACATGTTTAATGAAAACAGCTAGGGCCCTAACACCATGTTTTGCACAGTTTGATCTGCTAATTTCTTGTTAAATTCCTTATGTAGTGTTCATCAGACAAGAAAGATCTAAATAAACCTAATGTATGGCCTTGGATATAAATGTAGCTTTCATTTATTTATGTAAAGTGCCAAAAGCAGCACTAAGGTCTAGAGTCAAATGCAGCCTTGACTATATGTTAGAAGCAAGTTTTTTTGTAAATAGGAATTAGTTTCTTGCAATGATGAGGCTGAAACGTAATTTAAATTCTTTAAAATCTTTATACTTTACAAGATACATGTTAGTGCCTTGAAACCTGAATGGTTTTAAGTTACTAGTGAAGCGTCAGGTGTTTGTGTTGGTGGGCTGAGCATGTGTTTGTTTGTGTTCCGGCATATGGTCTCCTGACCTGGTGTCAGTCTTGTAGTAATTGCATATTTGCAGTGACTCTACCATAACCCTGTTCCAAAAACAGAAAAGCAAGGGTCAGACACCAGAATCTAAAAGCAAACATTGGTTTCATTAGAGCTGACTTGATGTCAAGCCAGGTTATGTAATGACCTCATTGTTCTTTAATTAGGATAATAATTCTTATGATAATAATTTGGTCTTTGGGAATAAATATCGTAATGCACTTTCGCTCTTTTTTTAAATAGGTGTACCTGGAAAGATTATTAACGTATGCAGAGATTGATATTTGTCCTGCTAACTGGAAGCGGATCGTTTTGGGTGCCATCCTGTTGGCATCGAAGGTGTGGGATGATCAGGCTGTGTGGAACGTGGACTATTGCCAGATCCTCAAAGACATCACTGTGGAAGACATGTGAGTGTGTGTTTGCTTTCAAAGTAGCAGACTTTCAGTATCAGAATAAATCTAATGTTAATAGTGAAATAATGCATTGGCACAGCAACTAGATATGACATGACATTTACACAAATCTTAATAGACACAAGAAACCTTATTTTAAACTATAATGAAAGCACAGATACTGCAATAAATTCCTCAATGCACAGATACTGCAATAAATTCCACAATGCACAATATATATAATTTTAAGAACACATACAATAGGATATCCGGACGAACTAACAGATAAAACTAATTGCACACCAGTTTAGATGTTGTTTTTATCATTTTAAAACACCTGAAGTATTTCTTCACAATGATTTGGTATAATTACCTTGCAGAACTGTCTTACAAAATGTCTTTCCCCCACATCAAGCATCCACCTCCGAAACCAAGATAACATGACATCGTTTGTTATTGAGTTTCATCTCTGCGCTCTGAGATGAAACTAATTTAGGAAAGAAAATAGGAGCCATAGAGATTCCCTTAGCTGCAGGAGCTTTCATTATTATTATTATTATTAATAATTCGTTTAACCCCTGTGGTCCCTCTGCAATGGAAGGCAGCCACACTAACTATGATGCTAAAGACCGTAGCCTCAATTGGCCATTGCATTTGCACTTCTCGAGATAAGGGTTTCCCCCTCAGTCCAAAGACATGTGCTATAAGTCAACTGAATAAACCCAATGGCTGTAGAGTATAAGTGCATGTGTAAATGTGAGTGTATGAGTGTTTTCCAGTACTGGGTTGTGGTTGGAAGGGCATTCCCTGCGTAAAACATATGGTGGAATAATTGGCAGTTCATTCCGCTGTGGCTACCCCTTATAAATTAGAGACTAAGCTGAAGAAAAACTAATGGAAGAGATTCTGGGAGTGAGATTTCCTCTCAAATCTCTTACTAGTTGACCTTTGTATTACTCAACTCCATCCGGGTCACAGCACCAATTTAACCACTTTGTTTCAACTTGCCTTTCTCTGTGCAGGATTCAAACCCATGTATCTGGCTTGGAAGACATGCATATTAACATGGACACTAAAGATTGTGGCCTCTTGAGATTAGCTTTTACTAGCTAGCCTCCATTCCAAATCCTGAATCTCCTCCGGAGGCCAGAGGGCGCTCTTTTGCAAATATGCAAAGAAGAGATCCAAACCAAACAGTGTATTTAACTGCCTTAATTTTTCCCTCTGACATTCTTAGAGAACTAAATCCTACAGAGCTTAAAGTACAGTATATAATAATCCTGAAGGACAGCTACTATGAAATTGACCTGACATAAATATCCCTACTTAACATGCATGTTTTCAGGTCTACCCTTTTAACTCCTGCTCAGTATGGTTATTTTAAAGACCATCCTGACTGTAGATTTAGTGACGAATGTTCATTCTGTCCTCAAGTCACACTGCAAACAGTGTTGGAGGACTAGAGAGTGGGTGTTTGTTGTCTTTGTGTTGTCAGAGGCCTCACTGTTAGCTATCTTTAGCTGGTTGGTTGGAATAATTATGTGGTTGGAAGGAAGACTTGGTAGTGGTGAGAAATTTGGGGTTTGCATAAGAGGTTTAGTATGAATAAAAAATAAGATTAGAGGTTTGGTTTGGTCTTATTGTGGGTTTTAAAATGAAACAACTGTTTTTTTTTTATTTATTGATGGCTGTGGTTAACACTTTACTTGAATGGGGTGTTAATAAGACTGTCATGAAACCTTTATAATCATGACGTGACGTTGTGTTATGCCATTTTAAATGCAAAGATGACATGTTTGAGATATGATAACTTATTCATATATATTCATCATAACCCGTCTTAAGCATGACCTCTTGACATGATCAAGACAACATAACTTGTCATGAAAATAATGATTGTGCTATGAATATGTTACTGATATCTTTTTGATGGATGATTGGCTTTTCAATAACTCAGTTAAAGTTTCAATACTTTGCTAAAAAATTTTGTAACAGCGTCATTGGTAATTAATGACAAATTAAATTTGTACCACTCCAGTTGAGCTTAGGATGGAAATAACAAGTTGATGTTAACAGTTGAGGGAAAAAAATGTTAATGGGACTGTTATTAAATTCATGACTTAATTATAATGGCCTCATGACAACCATGTTCATGACTGATTTATGACAAGCTATGTTGACTTAGTAAACAATGACACCTTAGCATTGAAAATGACATAACTGAGCAAAAAACACTTAATAACAGTTTTCATAAGCATGCATAAAATCTAATTCATATCCTTTTCATGGACACTCAAGGATGTGTAAAGATGGTCAAAAAAATACAACTTCTTCTCCAGATGAACATTACTTAAAGTTTTTCCCTTCAAAATGGCTGTAAGCTGATCGTATTATGAAGTCAACATTGTAGTCAAAATATACTGCTATTTAACTGTTGTTGCTTCATTAAACTTTCATTAAAAGCATTCTTTATTGACCAATTACTAATCCTAACCTTTTTTAAAATACATCATTTGGACATATTTTTAGTATTTTTTTTTCTTTTTATAATTAAATGTATTTTATTTAACTTTTTATTTTATTAGATTTATTTTTTTAAATATAATTTCATTTTCATGATTATCAAGGTGTCATGACGCAATATATTATTTCAGCATCAATATCGCAGTGTGCACTTGCGCAATAGTCACATCGCAAGATATGCAACGTAAAGTTTTATTTTTTTTCCAGCAGGAGTCACAATTGCAAAATATAACCATAATTGAGGACAAATTTATAATTTGCATGAGTTTTTAAGGCCTGAGATTGTGTGAGGATTTCGAGAGAGTTGAAATGTTTTTAGTTTGTATCTAAATGAAGGTTAAATGTATAAAATTATTAATATGATGAAGACTTTACAGTGCTATTTTACATTTTATTATTCATTATTTCCAAAACTACTAAGACTACTACCAAGACTAATACTTTTGTCAGGTAGTGTAGCATTACTATAGCTATTTTCTTTATTATTATTTTGTTTAAATGCAAAAAACAAAATATAAATAATGTTGAAAAGTTCATGATGAACTAAAATACACTTCTGATCAAATATTTTGCGTCTGTACAATTTATTTATATAATGTAAATCCATTAAATTAAACTGAATCAAATTTATGCTGAAAAGTGACATTTCAATTCATTTATAATGTTATTAATGTCTCTCCCACCAGGAACGAGTTGGAGCGGCAGTTTCTGGAGTTGCTGCAGTTCAATATTAACGTCCCATCGAGTGTCTACGCCAAGTACTATTTCGACTTGCGTTCGCTCTCGGAGGCGAACAACCTCAGCTTTCCCCTGGAGCCTCTCAGCAGAGATAAAGCCCAGAAACTGGAGGTATGGGGTCGATACCACACCAGATCATTAGCACACATGTTTATCTCAGATTGTCACTCAAGATCTCATCCGCATCCCCAGTGTGCTACAATTTCTAGGGCTTGAAGAAAAAGCTCAATTATCTTGGCAGATTGCTATACTGAAACTGTTCCAGGAAGTTAGAAGTAATAAGACCAAGAAAGCTTGCTTTGTTGAAACTTTCACAAATACGGAAGATCGTGACATTGTCCAATTGGTTTGGTAGAAGCGAGGCCGAATAATTACCTCGTCCGAATCCCCACGTGTGTCTTTTGCCAGAATTCAGCCTCAGTGCTGCCCAATTACAGTCTTGAGAAGACCAGGACTCTAATGATGTTAGTTAGTTCAGTTGTGTTTGTGTGTGTGCGCAGTTGTTTTTCTTTCACTGGTGTAATAGCCCACCAGCCCATCTAGTGTCAGTGATCTGTGGGTGGACGGCTCAAATCAGTCAGTCAGATGTTTGTGGTCCAGTTCTTCCATACGGCACCAGTGCTCTTTATAACTCCCACACACAATCAGCTGTCATTTTGAAAATAACCGAGACAAGTTGGATCTTGTCTCTTTTTTCCACTTATTGTCGAAGGTGATGGAGTCTTACGACTGATCAAAGTGCATCAAGTATGGACATACTTTGCTAAATTCAGCTACCCTCAGAAGTCAGAAGATAATGGTAATAATAATAATCTAGAAACAGAAAAGGGCCAGGTACAGAGCCCTGGGAAACACCTTGAGTAATTACAGTGGATGGTTTGTATTTCTGTATACCATATTCAATATAGAAATACCACATTGATTATGAAAGTATACTGAAATATGCACTATAATTATGCCTTTAAATTTATTTAAATTCAGAAACTTCAGTCAAAGTTTATTTTATTGTGATATATTGACCTGTAAAATGCTAAAAGCACTTTAATACATGAGCAATAACAGTGCGAAATGGCTGTATATCAGCACTGGTGGAAGTCACTTTCCCACCAGTGCTGATATTCAGCCATAAGGCACTGCTACTCGAGTGATATTGCATTTATACGACAGTTAGACGACACAATCGTGTATATAAAAAAGAAAATCAAAAATGGAGAGCCTAAAAACCCTTTTGTATTAGGAACTACTTTCTTCCGCCATTCATTCACATCAGAACAGCAGAAACTGTTACTAATTCACCAATGTCACTCTAGAGCTAGTGTTTGAATGACTCTCTAGCGTAATGTCTAAAGTGATGACAAAACAGGTGACTTTGCTGACGTTTTAAGATTATAAGGCTGAACGTGACATAAAATTCCATCAGTCTACAGAGATATCTCCTTACAGTATTACAGTCTAGTACAGTCTACAGTATTTCTCTGTAGCAATCGGAATATAACAATAATTAACTCCAAAAAAGCAGCGCAATCACTACCAGATTGCTGTTGTGTTTGCGATAAGGAAAAACGCTAAACACATCCAAGCATTTCTTCTTTCTTTCTGCCAACACAACACAGATTCCTGATACGCAAGTCCCATCTCACACACTTAAAAGACTACAATTAAATGCCATAAATACAACACTACAACATACAAAAGAGAGAGAGGTCGACTTAGAATATAACTTACCAGTTTACTAATGATTTAATTAGCTGTAGTTAGAAATTACGCTGTATTAATCCTCTAAGGGCTTATTATACGGTCCTGTCGCCATCTTGTGGATAGACACATCAACCGTCTTTGGTCTACTCAGCATGGCAAGCTGGTGGCCGCCCAGAAATAATAAATATTTTAAAATAGGCACTAATCTTACAAATAAACTGCATAGTTGCAATCTAAACAACTACGTTCTCGCTGAGAAAAGCCTCAAAAGTACATTATGTTGTCCAACAGCAGGAATATTTGTCAAACTGTAGAGTGTCCTCTGCTTGTTGCTGTATGTGGGCAGAGTAATATACAAGGGTGTAGGGTGAAAAGGTGGTGAAGTGCTGTTACGGGCAGAATATCGGATGGTTATCAGCCAATCAGATTTAAAAACCAGACAGAACTGTTGTATAAATAATAATATACTGGTCATAAATTTGTCAAATTTGCATATTAGTTTTTTTTTTAAATTCCTTTATGCCTTTATCCTGTCACTGTCATTCTGTTTCACTGTGGAAATTTCTATCATGAAAATATACCTGGCAATAAAGCTCTTACTGATTTTCTTATATATATATATATATATATATATATATATATATATATATATATATATATATATATATATATATATATATACTTTTTTCTTTTTTTTGATTAAATTTTAATAACCTTTGCCACCATCCTCTTTGAATAAAAAAATGTATGTAATTACATTTTTCTATGTTTCTCACAGGCAATATCCAGGCTTTGTGACGACAAATATAAAGACTTGAGAAAAGCAGCCAAGAAACGCTCAGTGAGTGCAGATAACCTGTCAGTGGTCAGATGGTCACCGGCCATCATATCCTAATAACAGTGGACATTGAAGACTTTGACGAGACACACACATACACACTCGTGCTCAGCACCTCCACAAGACTCTTGAGCCAGAGGTTTCTGTGTCCCTGCTGGTCAGATGGCTGCTGTAAATACAACACAAACACACACACACACACACACACACACACACACACACACACACACAAACACACACACACACACACACACACACACACACACACACACACACACACACACACAAAGATCACTTTCCAACCTGTGGCTTAGAGGACAGAGGGAGAGGAAAACGAGGGAGAAACCCCCCCAAAAGACGCCTGTGACTGGAAAAGCATTCCTTCAACTGTGTCATTACGTGTTTGCCATTCTAGGTGAGGAAGTTTCGAAAACGTGTTTCTTGATCTTGTAAGGTTAAAAAGGATGCATCAAGATGGCCAAAAAAACAAACCACAACCATGTCTTTATGAGATAAACATTCCTTTAAAGTATTTCCCTCCAAAATGGCTGTGAGCTAATGGAATTATCACCATTGTAGTCATTCATACGGTTATTTATCTTTTTTTTGTTTTGTTATTATTATTTTTTTATTTAATACATCCTTTGTGACAGTTTACTAATCTTTAACGATCCAATTAGGAAAATGCATAATTTGGACGTCTGTTTAGTCTGATTTATTTTATTAAATTTATTTGTACCAAAATTTTTGTTTCGGTTTTTCCCCTTTTAATTAAATATTTTTTTTTTTGCCTAAAAAAGCAAAAATAAATAAATAAATATTTGTATTTATGTTTAATTAATGATTAATTACAATTTTAAATAATATATATATTTATAATATTAATTTTATTTAATATATTTTATTTTTGTTATTTTTTATAAAATAAAATTACAAAAAATAAAAACAAATATTCATTTATAATTCATTTTATTTCATGATACATTTTTATTTTAATTATTTTTTATCAAATAAAATGACAAAAAATACAAATATTTATTTATAATCAATTTTATTTACTATATTTTATTTTAACAATTTTTTATAAAAAAATTATATATATATATATATATATATATATATATATATATATATATATATATATATATATGTGTGTGTGTGTGTGTGTGTGTGTGTATATAAATAATTACCTAAAAACAATAGAAAATAAAATATAAAAAATTATTAAAAATAAAGAAAGAAATATTTGTATTTCATTTTAATTAATTTTGTGATATTTTATTATTATTAATATTATTTTACTTAAAATAAAGTGATATATTTATTTTTTAATTAATTTTATTTGATATAGTTGATTTGTATTATTTTTAGTTAAAATAAAGTAAAAAATAAAAATATATATAAAAATGTTTTTTTTATTAAAAATAAATAAATATTTGCATTTAGTTTTTATCAATTTATTTATTTTATGTATTTTATTTTTACTATTTGTTTTTGTTAAAATAGAGTTAAAAATATAAAATATATAAAATAAAATTAATAAAAAACAAAATACAAATATTTATTTATTTATTTGATTTGATTTCCCCTTTTTCAGTTTTAAACCACTTGTCGGCATTTTTCACAGTTTAGTCTTATTATCTAAGAAATCTGGAAGTTGGCTTTGTATACACAATGTGTTTCAACGTGACGTTCCTTTTAAACCTTATGTTTTGATAACTGGACGCCACGTTAAGTGAGTTTGGTTTGAAAATGTACAATGTGGAAATAGACTAAAGTTGGAAGTTTTAATACTGAAATCAAACACTTCTTGCTGCACAGCCAACAATGACATTCCTTTCTCAATGACCATGAACATCTGTAATCTCCACACTCTCAACACACTTTTTAAATTTAATATCTGCCTGGTCCTTCACTTCAACAAACGTCTGATTAACTCATGCTGTCACTTAATTGCAAATTCAAAGCAATACATGCACTGTACTTTATTCCAGAAAGTATGTGTAAGATTGCAGCTGAAATATAAAAGTTTCATGGGATAATTTCAGCCACGGAATCGAAAATATTAATACGAAAATTGTGACTTTTTATTTCACAATTGTAAGCTTACATCTCAATATTTTTAATTGGAATTCATTTGTGCGTTTACATTGATCTATTTTTAATAATCATCAGTGTGCAGCTTATATTTTTAATTCAACTTGCTACTGATATCATTAATATTCAGAGCGGCAAGATATAAAGAAACAAGTGTTATATTTTGTCTTGTAAATCCAAGTTTAAATCTCAAATTTTTCAAAAGTTAAAATATCCTTTATAACGGTTAACTAATCTTCAACAATCTGATTGGGAAAATGCATAATTTGCACATTTAGTCTGATCCATTTTATTTACATTTATTTTTTACATTTTTAAAAAATTTTTTCCCCTTTTAATTATTTTACTTTATATATTTTCTTTTTATAATTATTTTTTTTACTTAAAAATGTAATTAAAAATATCTATAATTTTAATTTATTCATAATTGATTTATATATTTTATTTTATTCATTTTTGTACTTAAAATAAAGTAAAAAAGTAACCCAAACGACTAAAAGTAATACAAAACATATAACTAAAGCAATGTCCACAGAGTTGAGCGAGAGCGCTTCTCTTCCTGTTAAACTGAACAGTCTAATCATCGATGACGGAAGCGTGCTCTGGCTCGGAAGGTAAAATGCAGTGTGAGTGCAGGCTGTCGAAAGGGGTGGAAGGGGGACAAGCGCGATTTGGCACAGTTCAAGGAACCGTGCCTAGTGACAGTACGCCCTAATAAGACATAAATTTAAAAACGAAATCTGGGAGAACAAATTGTGAGGTAAAAAGTCACAACTACTGTTTGATTTTATTTATTCCTCCCATATCCTTCAGATGACATTTAACATCAATGTTTTTTGTCAAAACAAGTCAACAAACAAGTCATTAAAGGTGAAACGAATAGTTCCATTGTGATACAATTGGTCGGACCGATTGTGTTTTTTATTTTGTCACTTACGACTGAATTAAATTGGTCAAAGAGAGAAATTTCTGCTGTCTCCACTGCCATTGCCTGTGGTGCCTGCTTTCAGCGGGAATATGGCCTTACATGTAGACTATTCAAATCATTCTCATTAATTCATCACATTGAGGTGTTTAGAAAAAGAACGTCATTTGTTTTTAAAATCGGTTCTTCCCAGTTCTGAACAAGTGTTGAATCACGCCATCAGATGTGTGTGTGTGTGCGTGTGTGTGAGCGTGTGTGTGCGTGATCACCATAACAGACATTTTCACTCAGAAACGCATTGAAAATTAGAACTTCCAAAAAATATCTTTTGTATATTGTACATACTTAAACATACCTGAAGTATGATCTTGAGAGATATTTATATGTGACCAGTATTCACTTTTGTTCATTGACAAATTCTAGACGATGACGGATTAAAACTTTTAAAATTAGAAACACGTTGGTTGTTTTATCAGGATAGGAGGTAATCTTCTGGGATCTGACATAGATTTTTGCATTTGCTTGTATTTTTCTGTTCTCAATCGAGTTCAGTCTTTTTTATCTGCGCCACAAAAGAGTCATGAAGCAATTTCACAAGGTTATGACATGAATGTAACTCTGCAATAGCTTGTTTTTTTCTTTGTTTCCCCTTTTCATTTTAAAAGCAATGATAAAAGGCAATGTTTTTTATATATACACACATACACTTTTTGTTTAGATTTGATCTCCTGTGCCCTAAAAAGTCTTAATAATTTTACTTAAGAAATTGTGTAATCTAAATATAGTGCACACATTGTGTATCTGTATACAATACTGTAAGTAGACGATGTGATAAACACATTCAACCTGATTTTTGTTTTGTTTTTAAAATCTAAAGAAAATTAGCAAATTATATTTTGCATAAAAAAAACGAAGCCTACTTTAGCACCATGTCTTTACTGTATTGTTTAATATTTACTAGGGCTGCACAATAGTGGGAAAATATGCGATGTCGTTGAGTGCTGCGTTAACAGTATTTATTACTAAGTTGCAAAAGGTTATTTTATTAACAATTAAAAACTATATATATATATATATATATATATATATATATATATATATATATATATATATATATATATATGTAATAATCATACTAAAACAGGTAATACACATTTTTCTGATCTAATTAAAACAAAAATAAAACTATCACAGTGCAAACATTTAGAGTTTAAAACACCACGAATGACTAAAAAACCTCAACGGATATTCTGATACTTATTGGCTTGTTGTCATTTTACTCCCAATTAGTGTTTCTTTTCAGCTTTAGGAAAACTGGAGAGGTGGGGCTAAAGATAGAAAAGGCCCCACCTGATTGGTCAGATTTGGATAAATAATTAACGCATGATATATATGTAATTAATCCAACGCTACCTCACGGCAATTCGTAACTTTTTGCTTTAATGGCTAATTTGTATCTCATTGGTACAATTTAGTATGATTTGCTTATCCCCTATTACGGTTGGGTTTAGGGGTGAGGTTTGGGGGCATGACTGCCTTTTAAAAATCAGACACTGCATTCGTACGATATATGTAATTTATCCGAAGCTATTTCACGGAAATATGTAACATTCTGGTTTAGAGGCTAATTTGTATCAATTCGTACATCTCATTCATTCAATTTAGTATGATTTGCTCATCCCCAAATTATGGTTGGGTTTAGGGGTGGGGTTTTTAAAAATCATACATTACACTCATAGGAATTATCCTCTAAACTGACAAAACTGATAATGATTTTTTTGTAAGTGTCTACGATATGTATATTGCATATACTTTTATCACGATAACGATAATTTCTCGATATATTGTGCAGCCCTATTTTTTTACTGTATTATTTTCCCCTACACAACCCGAACAAGCATTTCATGAAAAAAATGGTTGGTCAAAAGGCTGAATTATTCTTAATTCATTAAATTCTGGGGGTAAAATTGACTAGACACATGTGACAGACAGCGGCAATGAACACAGACATTTTTTTTGGTGTATTTCCTGAAGATAAAGGAAGTTTTACCAAAGTAATTATTTTTGAGGAAGACCTGTTGGCGCTTTAGACTCCCTTTGCACATTTTCAAAGTGTTGGAAACGGTTTGAAATCAGGGAAAAAGACGTTCCAGAAAAGTGTCTTCGGGGAGGAAAACAAAATCGTGAAATGGAAAAGACTGATAGAAATTGAAAGACTGATAAAAATAAACGCATCTGAAGATTGTATTATTGTATTTATTTGTGGACGCAGCCCAGCGTTGGATATGAAGATGTTGTGAACTCCTAGGCGAGCGGCGTTTTAGCACTGAACTCTACCTCTGCATAGAGTTTTTGGTTTCTTATTTAATACCTCTCTCTCTTGCTCTTTCCGACTATGCTCTGTGTAATATTTCTCATTTTCATTGCAATTTCTAGGAAATTACCAAGTCTTTCGGAACATTTCTACTCTTAAGTGGTTTCCTGTGACAGAGAACGAGAACTGCTGTAGTTGTGACTTTTATTTTATTTTATGTTAAGTCACTGGTTGTATGCCTGTTTTTATGAATAATACATTGTTGTTGTCGTTTTGTTTCTGTTCCAAAGGTCAAGCCGATCCTCAGTATGTGTTTTCAGTGTGCCAAAGGCTGAATCTTATCTCCTGTTTATGATCTTAGTTTTTATTCTTCTTTCTGTTTTAACCGAGTGAGCCTGCACTCGTCCGCCAGGAGCTGGAGGCTGTAATGGTCGCATGCATTTTTAAATTCAGATTAATTTTGTTTTGTTTATTTTGTTCTCAGATTATGATTTTTAACTGATGCTCCCAGTTCAGAAGCAATGTTTAGAAACCGCCACATGAATAAACTTTTAAAAGTTGCAATAAAACCGACTTGATTGGTTGATTGATTAATGGAAAACATGTTAACAAGATAACCCAGGACATGCTAACAACATTAAATCATGACAGCAGTGTGTAGAAATGCTATAGATGTTATGAATGTAAACCGTAAACATAACTAGCTTGCTTTAACTTGTTAGCTAGTATTAGCAATATCATGCTTAAATATGTTAGCAGCATTGACATTTAGCAATGTATTCAAATGTTAACAATGTGCTAGAACATGTTAAGAGTTTTAAACTATCTATTTATCTAACTAAAGTGTACTCAAGTGAAGCGACAAGGACATGCTAACAAATATTAGCATCATTAAATCAAGATAGCGGTGTGTAAACATGCTATACGTAATATAATACTGAAACTGTTAGCTTTAAAAAAAATGTTAGCCACTATTTTTAAAACATATTTTTATTAGATGTTAGATGTTTATTTGAACATATTACCTAACATTTAAACATCTTAGCATATCATATGTAAAAAAGTATAACTACTAGCATATGACATTAAACAACATGCACAACCATGACAGCAATGTGATGATGTTGGCAACATTTATCAACATAGAAACTAGCTTTAACATGTTAGCAAGTTATAAAACAAGCAACCAATGTGATCAATCTATCTATCTAGCCAACTAGCCAAGGACATGCTAACAAAACAAAGTAGAAATGCTATGTTATAACAGAAACTAATCTCATATTATATTTGCATATTCAAAATCTAATTATTACAGTTATACATATTTATAAAATGGGGTACCATATGTCTTTTAAAGTGGTGTGTGTGTATATGTGTGTGTGAAACGTATGCTAAGCTGTAGTAGCCTATATGGGGAGCTATTCATTGTGATTTCTCTTGAAACCTGCCAAATAATGCCATTTTTGTCAAATTGTATTCAATAAGTTCAATGACACGCATCCAAAAATAACGCAATAGCTATACCAGCAAACTAAAGCATATGATATGTGCATTTACAACCTAAGTCTTCGGCTTTGCACCTCTAAATGTGTCCCAAGTGAACTACTCCACTGCTTGCTACCTTGAAATGGCCTTTATTTGAGCAGAGCCGGTTTGCTAATCCAATTACAGAGATAAAGAGTCTTGGAAGATTGAATGATTAAAATATTTTAAGCTGTATTAATAGCCATCTGGGACAGATTGCATCATCTGTTCTGAAATGTCAATCGCAACAGAATGCAGAAAGTGTGTTGAGAAGAGCAAATTTGGTTTGGCTTGCAAACGCTGATTTGCATTGTCTCTTCCACGCAGGCATAAAATTAATCTGTTCTCCACCTACTCGCTTTTAAAAACAGGATGCAATTTGCTGTACTCCTGGTGTGAACATTCACTATAAATACATTAAAAAAGAGAGAGAGATAACAGCCCCACTTGACTTCTCAAGACAGATTAATAATAATAATTAAGCAGAATCCAAGTGTGTTGGATGCAAAACAGCCTTTAATGACTTGTGTAAATGAATAACATTAACTTTTTTAGTAAAAGCATGCCAAAATTAAGTGTTTTGAGCTTGTTTCTGAAGTCCAAAAGCATGGTTATATAACAGGTAGGTGTGGCTCTGAGTCTCCACCTTCTTTGACATTGGAAATTAGGGTTGTGATGATACTGGTACAGACAAACCAGCGGATCAGCGTAACTTTGAAAAGCTCCAGTGTCCTGTATCTATGGTTACACTCAGTAAACAGATGCAAGTTCGGTGAACTGATGACCTTCATGGCCAATTACAGTCCTTTCTGTTGAGCACATGAACACAGTGGCAAATCAGTGCTGTTCCTTGTTCTCTGTTTAGTCCTTTTCGCTTTTTAGTAGTAATTAGGCTCATAACATTTTCTTGTTGCAATTATTTGCTGAACATTTTATCGCAGTTTTATCACATTATTGACATAAGCTGCGAAAAAAGGTCACTTTCATGGTGTGTTCACACCAGACGGGGAAGAAGAATCAATCGCGAGTGATTTACAAAAGACGCAAATAGACATCTGGTGGTGTAAAATGTTGAGTTGGAAAATGTGAACTTTACCGGACATTCACGCCGCGCTAACCAATCATGAGCTTGCCCTTGTGGGGGCGTGATTATGATGTAATGCATGCAGTTGGTGTCCCAAAGGGGGAAATCCTCCTGCCGACATGGGACAACAGCTCATCAAACTGGACGTCTATTGTGAAGTGAGTTTCACACGCAAATAGCACGATTTATGCCGCATCAGATGTGAACACAGCATATGTGTATTGCTTTATGTTTGGTATAAGGTACATCTAAGACGTTGTTAACAAAGAATAAAGCCTGGTTTATTCCATTGGGGCTTTATGCTACGAAAACAACCATCCTGAATGTACCTTATCCTGCTTATTACATGGCTACTTGTGTCAAAATAGTTTATTTTTAAACCTTTGATTAAACACAAAACTGAAAGAAACGAAAACAGCTGATGGAGTACACACTAACCTGCTCCTTATTTAGTCACAATATGGTATCAAACAGTTAAAAATGCGACGTGACAGACAAGCAAAAATTAATGTGGATACAAGTATATAGACTATTTACAGATGGTTAAGGTGATTTGAAGTTCCCAGATGAGCCTGTGTTATTTAGTGGTTGTTATCTGGGAATAACATATCAGAATTGTGTATTTCAGACAGCCGTGTACTAAAATATGTTAATGTAAACAAATGCTATAACCAAATTAAATTGCAAAAAGGATTATAAAGTACAACCGGAACTATTTATAATAATAAGGTCTAGTTAATGGATTAAGATAAAGCCAGATTTATCGCGGAATCAATTTCTGTCAAAAAATACTACTGAATTTTTTATTAGCTCTGTTAAATAAAAAGTTTATAACTAAGATTTTAATGCATTATATATGGCATTATCATTATCTAAGACTGATAATAGCTTTTGTAATTCCATTGTGAGTTTAGTTAAAGGGCACCTATTATGCCCCAAGATGTAAAATAAGTATCTGATGTCCCTATGTGAAGTTTCAGCTCAAAATACTCCACAAATATTATTTTATAATTCTTTGAAACTGCTCCTTTAAGTCTTTGATCCTAATTGTGCTATTCTGGTGACTGTCGCTTTAAATTCAAATGAGATTGTGCTCTTTTCAAATTTGGGCGAAGCTACATGTGTGAGCATAGTGGCAGATTCAAAAACATGACTAACATCCTATGCTAATGAGGGAGAGATCGTCACTAATTCTACTTTCTACTTCTGATGGCACGAACAAAGAGAGAATGTCAAAGTGATTATAAAAAACAAAATGAATACATTTTTACTATTCAAAGCTGGTTATATTCACAGAATGTTGCCACACTACTGTGCATAAACCCCTTATGTTTTGCAAAATAGGCCCCCTTTAAATGATCTAATGTTAACTATCAGAGCCTTATTGCTATATATAAATAGTCACATGCTTGTCAATCAATATTTCAGCATGTAGTAGGCTAGATTATGTGAAAGTATTAATGCTTAACTATTAAGTTAACCAATTAAGTCTCCAACCATTTGTCAGCTGTTATGAACACCACCGCAAATGCAATGTTAATATTCTTAAAAGACACTAATTATTCATATCGCCTACAATGTCCATATTGTGCATGCTCGTTGTCACGATATACAATATCGGAATATGACTAGTAGATATTTAAGTGCACAAAGCATTTACAGATTTATAAACACTACTTTCAACAGTGTCTGCAATGGGATTTTGATTAATAATAATTGCGCATTTCAAACTTTTCTTTTTTTAACCTAAATAAAATAGGAAAACTTTTTTTTTTTTAGTCCACTACAACTTCTGTCAATGCGCATTTATTAAAGGAGGTTATCCAATGAGTGTTCACTACAAAACAGTTGCTGTATTATAATTGTGATCCCATAAATCTCCATTCATTATAACCCAAGTCCTTCAAATCCTCCGTCCAGATGTCTCTCATTCAGAGGTCATTTAGAGTGAGCTAAAAGCTTCTAGATTCCAGCGTGATCTTCTCTGATCCCTGTAGCTCTCAGTCATGTCAAACACCTCAAGGACAGAGCTAAAGAGGGGATTCTTTTTAATAAAGTAATAAAAGTAGATCAACCTAGCTAACAAAAGCCAAGCTAAAGAGATCTTATACAAAGTTGTATAATGAGGGTTTTTTCCACTTAAAAAAAATTCTTTTTTCAGGTTTTGTCCTGTTTCCAGTACAAAGTATCTAAAAACTCTTAAATCAAGAAGCATTTTCCAGACAAATAAAAATGATTGTCTAATTTTTGGCATTTAATAAGTCAAAACTGTGAATATAGTCAAGTAATATAATATTAAATATTAATAAAATACTCCGGAAGTCAAAGTTTTACTAAATATCATCTTGTTTTTAATAGAAAAGAGAAACTAAAATAGGTTTGAAACGATAAATAAGTAAATGATAACATAATTTGATTTTGTTTGTGTTAACTATTAGTTTAGTAGGTCAAATAAAAGCAAATCAACATTCAAAGTCCTCCAAGACCTCAGGAGTGCCCTCAATTATACTTGTGAGTTTAATATGGGTTATTTGATGCCTGATACTAATAGCTATTCTCCTGTAAGGACAAACAGAGCCCAAATATCACAGCAAGGCCTGCGTGCCGACATGCCTTTGGTGGGTAAGAATAGCCCTACAATGGAGCTCACATCTCTCGTCTTCTGTTGTCTGAGAACAGTTGTTGTCAGGACAGAGTAAGAGGTAAGATGGAAAACCAAGTTGGTGGTTACATGCGAGTCTTGCCTTTGCGGAATTGACCCAACCTGGTATATATATAGTACCCAAGTAGGATTATGTGTGCTTGTAAATGGGTTTTATTTGTAATGCTTGTTTAGAATGATTTTAATAGAGCATAGACTGTTATTCTTATGTGGAATTAAGAATTGACTGGCGACATTACCTTTGCTGGAGCCTCAGGAGGCCTAAACTGCTGAAATGGCCAAACAAGCTACATCAGAAGTTATCTTCATAACGCTGAACCACAACATCACCCTCACAGGTATGTGTATGCTTTTAGTATTATTTTTAAAAAGCATTTATACAGTAACTCATGGCTGAGGCCAGACAGAATCTGCGGACAGTTTTTGCTATTTTTGTAAAGAATTTTGTAAATAATCTGCAGATTTATGCGTAATTATTTTGGGAGTATCGTAACTAAAACTTTAATATATGAAATAAACAAATTATACCTTTTTAACCTTAATGTTTTCAATGCAAATCCAATTAGATCTACTTATTTGGTAAACAAAGCACATCTCTCATATAATATATCTACTGAAAGACAGAAAATATTACTTTACAAACTGTATTCTGAATAAATCATATGAACACTTTCATATTAGTCATTAATGTTAGTGAAATTAATTTAAAAACTGAATAAAGATAAATGTACACAGATTTACACAAGTAAATAAATAGACTTAATGATAGGCTAGATTTCTGTGGAAATCTGCGGATTTCTGCATGAACAGATTCCGTATGAGCCTACTCATGGCCATTTAAAGAGATTATTCTATGCAATGGGGGAAAAAAAGTTGATTTATTTTAAAGTAATTTTTTTATGCATTTACAAATTTACAAATATATATATATATATAAATATATTTATATAATTATATGTATATTATACTGAAATTACAAGTGTTCAGACTCATGCTGTTCAACATTGTTGGATGTTGCTAGTAAGTGTAATAAACTGCTGGGCCAATTACTTTAATAATTAAAAACACATTTACAGTTAGTTAGTTAGTTAGTTAATGAGTTAGTTGGTTAGTTAGTTAGTTAGTTAGTTAGTTAGTTAGTTAGTTAGTTAGTTAGTTAGTTAGTTAGTTAGTTAGTTAGTTAGTTAGTTAGAGTTAGTAGAGTTGTTACAAAGTTTTGACAGCTAATGTATAATTCAACTTTAATTACAGAATGATAATTGGTTTTCTTGTATTAAAAAATAATTGTGATGGAAAAGCTGACTTTCTACAAAAAAAAGATAATAATTGTGACGAAATAGTTAACTTTTTACAAAGTGATGAAAACCTCTTAAAGGAATAGCTCATTCAAAAATGAAAATTCTGTCATAGTTTACTCATCCTTTGCTTGTTTAAAACCTTTATCATTTTCTTTATTTTATTTCACACAAAAGAATTGTACGAAATTTGTAACCATTTGTTTTTTCATGCTATGTGTTTTTCCTAAAACGAAAGTTAAAGGTTATAGGTTTTTTTTTCTAAATAAATCCACTTGTTAGGTTGTGATGTATGGAATACTGTTTCTGGGTCCAAGCCGCTACTCATTTGAATTGAGAAAATATTCATTTATGACCACTTTTTAGTAATAAAAAACATTAAAGTGATTTTTTTTACAAGATCATGGTGTACACAACAGTCCCTGGAATTGCTGCATGACATGTTGCATGATCAATACTTCAACAATTTATAAAAGATTAATAACTTTCTGGCCATCGGATATCAGGCATGGATATATATATATATATAGAGCGATCGTGATATTTGACAGTATTAAATCGCATTGTAAACATATACTATTGCCATTTGTTGAGTCTTCCCATACAGTTTGATATAGTGCTTGGACCTAGAGTCGCTTCACGTGACGTCACACTTAACAAGCGGACATTTTTGTGTTAAAAGAATGAAACTGATAAATGTTTGGAACCACTTAAGGATGAGTAAATATTGAGTAAATGTTGTCTTTAAGTAAAAGCAATTATGTAAAAAGTAACTATGCAGCTCATAATATCGGAAACATGTTTACTGAATATCAAAGATAATGTTATTAAAATACTGTTGAGATTCCATTCTATTGTTACAAGATCACCAGGCTGCTTTACCGATTTAATTTAGAAACATTTCGTCAAATTTTAGACCATTTTGATTGAATTAATTCCTAAGTTGTCAAACTAAATAAGGTCTGCATCAACTAAATGTATACTTTTGCTCTTTAGGGAAAGCTTGGCTCGTCCTGGTGGTATTTCTAAGGATCCTGGTGTTGCTGTTTGCTGGTTATCCTCTCTACCAGGATGAGCAGGAACGATTTGTGTGTAACACCATTCAGCCCGGTTGTGCCAATGTGTGCTATGACATGTTTGCCCCTCTGTCCCTCTTCCGCTTCTGGCTTGTACAACTGACCACTCTGTGCCTCCCCTACATAATGTTCATCATCTATGTGATCCACAAAGTGAGTTCTGGCTTAGCTACCGATACCGGAACTTCCGAGTCCATAAAAGCGGACTCCATCTACAAGATCCATCAAGAATCATTCAGGAAAGCATCTCTTTGTAAGATGGTCATGAAGGCTGAGAAGGGAAGGGTGCAGTACTTCACGGGAGCCTACATCTTGCATCTTCTGCTTCGGATAATGGTAGAAGCTGGATTTGGAGCTGCCCATTATTACTTGTTCGGCTTTCACATCCCCAGACGCTTTATGTGTCAGCAGGCACCCTGCACAACAATGGTGGACTGCTACATCTCTAGACCCACTGAGAAAACCGTCATGCTGAACTTCATGTTAGGGGCAGCCGCTTTGTCCCTGCTATTAAACATCTGCGACCTGATTTGTGCAATCAAGCGCTCTGTGAGGCAAAAAAACAAACGAAAGATGCTAGTGCAAAAGATGTATGCAGAGGAGCAGTACTACGTGTCAGGGAATGGAAATCAAGGTGTGGACGCTAGCAGCCCTCCAAATCAAGATGTGATGAGTCCAGGAGTGTTTCGCAAAAGAGGGACCAGAAACTCAAGTGGCGATGAAGCTGCTTCTGTGCTTTTGGATGATGACCCTCCGCCATCCTTACCTCAAGAAGGAAAGCCTACAATTTCAGGAATGCCTGGTTGCAGAAGCAATGATGACAGCAGCAGTTACCAACCCACCCAAGAAGGGGGGATGGTAAGAGAGGGCAGTGAAGTGGCCCTGTGCCCCAGTGAGCCCTTGGGAACCCCTAGATCCATCCGAGTAAGCAAACGTAGTCGGCTGAAACCTCCACCACCTCCTCGAAGGGATAAACTTGCCGTGCAAGGTGCAATTGATGGCTCTGGAGCGACAGCATTGTGTACCAGAAGAGTAGGGCAATATACTCTGGTAGAAATGACCACTGGTGAAGACATAACAACTTGCGGTGGAGATGGGAAAGAGAAAAAGTCAGAGTGGGTTTGACTGTTGCTTCAGAAAACTCTCTATATGAGTTTAGTGAAATGAAGTTTGGATGCACATGCAAGTTAATTTTTTTTTAATTGAACCTTGAATGGAACAGACTGACCTGAATGCAATAAATTGCTTATTATTTGAAGTCAACATCATGGATAAATGCCAATCCACAGACCAGCTTTACGCCCATCAGTAGGCAAAGTACTCTGATAGAAATAACCAATGGTGAAGACATACCAACTTGGAGATCGGAATAAAATAAGTCAGAGTGGGTTTGAATTTTACTTCAGAAAACTATGAATTTGTCTACTTGCTACATTATGAGCATGTATATTCCTACAGTGTAAACCCTGAAATGAGTTTTGAAATGCATGCAAGTTGCAAAGGAAGTTGACTGAAACTTGAAAGAGACTGGCCTGAACGGAATAGATTGCTTGGCTTTTTTATTAGACGCCAATGGTCAAATGCCAATCCACGAATCAACAACACCCATCGAAAGGGCAATGTACTCTAGTAGAAATGACCAATGGTGAAGACGTACCAACTTGCAGAGGAGATGGGAAGGAGAAAAGGTCAGAGTAGGTTTGAATGTTACTTCAGATCATGTATCATCACGTATATTCCTACAAGGTAAATCCTGAAGTGAGTTTTGAAATGCATGCAAGTTACAAAAAGTTGACCAACTAGAATGAAACGGATAGGATGGAATATATTGCTTGAAGAAACAAGGTGGAATCGATGGTATTAGTAGATGTCAACATCATGGATAAATGCCAATTCACAGATCAAAAGGGTACTCTGGTAGAAAGGACGACTGGTGAAGACATACTAACTTGCGATGGAAATGGGAAGGTGAAAAGCTCAGAGAAATCTAAATGGATTTGGCTACTGACTACATTTTTTTTACCATGTATTTTCCTACAACACAAGTCTTGAAGTAAGTTTTTGAAATGCAAAAGAAGTTGACTTAACCTTAAATGGAACAACTTGACTTGAATGGAATAAATTGCTTGTGGAAACAAGGTAGGATGAGAGGTATTATTAGAAGATGTCAACGTCATGTATAGATGCCAATCCACAGATCAACTACACCCATCAGCATCCACCTGCCTTTCATGTGTGTCTTAGTGCATTCCCTCATTCTTTCACCAACCAGACAGGCCTTGACCCGCATTGACCCCACAACAATCAAGGGACACCGAAGGCCACTCTAAAAACAGGCTTGTTGCAAACACCTAAGCTCCCAAAGGTCGAAAAACTGACACTGACATAGTTTTTGGTTCAACTGTGGGCAGCCACCAAACAAGAACAACCCTGAGGGTATGAAGGTACTTCCTGCGTCAAAATCCCCTCCACAATCCTCTAGTCTGCAAAATCTCAGGAACTGTCAAGTCTCGGTCAGCAGCAGCCCATCATAAAGCAATTACTGCCCAGACTGCTTTTGTATCTATGGAGGGAGCTTGTAACTCTATTCAAGGACCACTGGACTTCAGTTTGGAGCTTTAGAACAAACACTTAAAATAGAGCTCCATAATCTGCTGTAACATGAGAACAAGACGATGTGTGGCTTTCAGACTCTCAGAAGCAGGCCGCAACATGCAGACGATTGGACGTGTTAGCTTTGGACAGTCACCTCGACTGTAGCCCTCCTGTCCTCACAATGTCAGTCATGTGTCTCATTAAGCACACCAGGGACATCTGAGATAGCCTATTTGTGATGTTCCGTTATACATCACCGATGATGATTTGTAGTTGTCGCTACACAGTATCTTCAGTCTAATGTCAAATGGTTTGCACGTTAATGACTTCGGCTCTGTTTTTTGTTTTATTACCTTACTAAATCACACTCCCCCTTAAAAGGGCAGTGGTATTTCATGTATTGCACATCCTCTTGAAACAGAAGACTATTAAAAAAGGTGCACTACTTGAAGTACACTCAATTTCACCGCAGCTTGATTTGATGCAGTGTGATGAATACTGATTAAAGTGGAAGATTACCATATGCGAGATGACTACACCTCACAAGTTTGAGTTCATGTGATTACAGACATGCAGAGCAGCATATTATCTGTACAAAATGATTAGGATTGCATATTGCAGTCTGTTGGGGCAGCTGTGGCTTAATATGTTAGTGAGTTGGAATTGTTACTCAAAGGTTGCTGGTTTAATTCCCGGTCCCGGCAGGAATTGAAGATGTAGGGAGTGAATGAACCGTACTCTCTCCATCTTCAATATGTAGCTGAGGTGCCCCCTGAGCAAGGCACCCAATTCCACCCTAAATGCTGGAATCAATAACGACGCTCAGGGTTTATGGTCACAGTGTGTCTTTGTGTGTGTGATCTCACTCAAAATGTGAACCCACTCGAATGGGTTAAAGTAGAGAACCAATTTCGAGTATGTATGGCTAAAACCATTCCTGACAAGGTATGTCATACAGCAGTGTTCTGCAATGGTCTCTTAAATAATGTTTCTATTTCAGGTTTGTTTTCATAACATGCTGATGAGATGAACGGAATTTTTTTATTTTATTTTTTTTTAAATAGAAAGGCTCTAAAAATGGTTTGCCCTTCTGTACCAATGATGAGAAACACAGAGCATCAGCCAGGTGCACTATCTTGATAAAAATGACAAACCATACTGCTCTCTAGTGGACTGATAGGCATACAACTCTAAGGAATAGTTTTTAGATTTCATTCTGAAAAAAACAGCCACTGACGTCCATAGAATTTTTTGTTCCTACTATGGATGTTAAGTGTTCTTCTTTCCAACTTTTTTTTTGGAATACCATTGTTATTGTGATTAAACAAATATTATTTTAGTTGCAACAGAAAAAGAAAATTCGTAAAAGTTTAAAACCACTTGAGTATGAGTAAATGATGAGTAAATGTTGATGTTCGGCTGAACTGTCCATTTAAGTATAAGTATTGGCGGTTATTTGCTACCTCATACACATTTTGTCGTTGGAACCAAGGTTATTATAGTAAACTAAAATAAGACTAAAACTGGTCAAAAAACATTTTTGTTAACTGAAATAAAATAAGTAATTCAAAATAAATAAATAAAAATTACAAAAATGTATTGCATTATAAAATAGCTGTTCAGAAGTAGTTTATAATTAAATTTAATACTTTATTCCAGTGATTTCACATATGAATTTTCTGCTTAATCCATTTTTCAGAGTCACATGATCCTTTAGAAATCACTCTAATATGAATTATTATTTATTATTAATAATAATGGTTATTGTAATAAAAGTATTAATGACTGGAGTAATAAATTAATTTAAAATGACATTTAATACGAAAGCAGCTATTTAAAATTAAAAAAAAAAATTGACAATTTAACTTTTTTTTTTTTTTTACATTTAATAAATGCTACCTTGATGAACAGAATAAAAAAACCTGTAAAAACATTTTCAGTAGATCAGATAGCATTTGAAGCAGTTATATATGGTCATGTTACAACGTGTCCCATCCACAGAAGCATGTTGTCACATTTCGCTTACATTCTTTTGGGGTAAATAATGAGATAAGTATACACTGTAATAATAACACATAACCACATATTTATACTAAACACGTGTGCAATTAAATTCTAAGTATACTATAAACTCCAGAACCCATGTGAGACTTACATAAACTGAAGAAGTGTTAAAAAGGTTTATGCTCAGTCAGCAGTCTTACTCGAAACAAACACACACTTGGCATAGACATGTCCATGTCACGTGTAACTAAATATTTTTAAATAACTAGATAAAAATCCCTTCAAAAATATATAGTTAAATTGCAGCATCCATTTTTTATTTGGTGCATTGACTTCCCATTTGTACTTTGTTTTATTTACTATGGTTAGATGTGGCTAACCACAAATCGACCTAGACTTTGCAATACTAACCATAGTTTAACCATGTCTTTTGTAGTAAAACTGGTTTGACAAATGGAAGACAATGTGTAAAGACAAACAATAAAAACATGGCTACTACATTTTAGGATAGTGACACTTACAAAAAAATAAGTACTATGTGTTAGGTATGGGAAGATAACTGTTATCAAGGTATACCGCGGTTTGGAAAAGTCAAGGTTTTAAAACAGCCAAACTTTTCTATTATACCGTTCCTAAGGTATGTGTTTTTCATAAAGTTTTTTTTTAGCACATCAGTATCTCCAGCAAAAAAGATCTCCAAAGATGCCATTTTAAGTTGTAAAGAAAACTGTGTTTTTGAAACTACAGCAGAAGTCAATGATTAATTTAAAGTATTTTAATATTTATTTTTTTTTATATTATATATATTATATTTATATCGTGAAGCTGTGATATTCTTATCCGAGGTTATCATACCGTCAGCTGTTGTTGTTTTTTGTTTTGTTTTTTGGTGCATGGACTTCCCATATCTACTTTATTTTATTTGCTATGGTTAGTTGTGGCTAACCACAAATTGACTATGATTTTGCAAAACTATACATATTTTAACCATGTCATTGGAAGTAAAACTGGTTTTACAAACAAATAAACATGGCTAATACATTTTACTTCAGTAAAACTATTGCTGCCTCCCAATTCGTATACTATCCGTGCTAAATAATATTTGAAAATAGAATCAGGGCATCCCGTATGATTTAGCATGTGACAAATCTTAGTAAGAGTATGCCAAAGGTTCCAGGATTGTTTCCTATTTCTGGAAAAAAATCTGAAGTGTAAAACCGTCTATACTTTGACTGCTGATATTGCCCACAATCCATTACGTGTTGCACGTGAATTCAGTTAGAACTACAAATGTGGGTGAAAAAGTGTAAATAAACTATAAATGAATAAACAAACTGTATATAAATCCACATGATGGACGCGCAAGACCAACCATGAAGTAGAGAGCCTTCAGTAAAAATGTTTGTAGGACCCTTATTAATATCTAGCCAACTGGAACATGTTTAAACCACATTTTCTGTGTCATATTCCATCTGCAAAAACAATGTGAACTTATATCAAAGATATGTTTGGACAATTAATGCCTGAATGCATTCTTATCCAAAGACCTGAGGAGATTTCTCTGCATGAAAGACTCGTGTGAATGGGAGACTATCCTGATGCTGCTTCTCCAATAAGGTGGGAAGTTAAATATGACAGAAATGTGGATGATGTGTGGATGATTGACAGGGCAACCTAAGCAAAATAACAATGTTAAAGGGAAACTATGTCCCAAAGCTTGCATACTTGTCTGTTACACACTCAAACGTATATACTTTTCCTTCACAAAAAAAGTACATACTTTTAGGGCATAGTATAAGTATGTGAATTGGGACGCAGCATATGGGTTTACTTGATGAAGCAGCCAGGTGGTTCAATCAAACCTAACACTAATATAGGCTAAAACTAAAACTACTGTGACTCTCAACATGATGAAACATTATTTACATTTGATGCATCGGATTGGTTATCGTATAAAGCTGTTTCAGTTGATTTGGGGGCAGTCAGGAATGCTAAAATTGTTTAGAAAGAAACACATTATCTGTCAAATGAGTGCGGTACTGAGACTCAGTGCCCTCTTCTGGCAATATTTGTTACTGCACTTATCTGTCTCTACTAATTATATTGAAAATGAATGACTTCTGGATATTTTGATGTTCTCGCCGATTTCGGTGTGAACGTACAGTTAAAAGGGTCCCGTTGAATATCGCGGGGATGTTGTAACACCTTGGAAACAGTCTCTAATTGATCGAATACAGCATATATTAATAACAAATGCCTTGTTTTTACCCAATAACTGCTTATTATCAATTAAATCACAATTCAAGTACCTCAGACTCATCATTCAGATGTAATTTATTGTGCTGACCACAGAATGAGCGTGAAAACAACTGTAATGTGTTAAGAGTGTATTTTCTCTGCACGGTTGAACAAAAGCAAGTAGGCAACGACATGTTATAGCTCGAAGGGGATTTCATAGATATCACGGCTTCCTAAATGTCATTATGTCAGATAACCGTCTTTGCGTTGACTGTAAATATGTGCCATTTGTGTATGTCAGCATAACTCATCTTTTGATTGAACTTAGGACTTTGGATTGCTTGGCAAAGACATACTGAATTAAAGTTCTGCCCATACTAATGATGAACAAGAGAAAGAATAGTTTTTAATAAAAACAGCTGAATATACTTCATTTGTACAACTTACTCAATGCTTAGAAAAATATACTGCACTTCATTGTTCTGTAAATTAGGCTAGTTACACATTGCATTGGAAAAAGGATGCTTCTTTTAATCTAAATGGGGTTTTAGACATGTATCTGTTAAACAAGTCATTTAATAAACATTTCCCTACCTGCTTTACGCAGAAAACACTTAGGCTGATATAACCGCTTTCGAATGTGCAGATATTTAAATATCTGTGGCTACTTTATCGCAACAACATACTAACAAAATGCAAATAACCTAAGAAATCATCTGATAATGTGTAGTTAACCTGTAATAGTATTTGATGAAGTCATTCAAGTTTCAAACTGGCCGCTAGATGGAGATATAGTACAACAAAATAAGTGGATAGGTCTATTGTTGTTAAAAGAAGAATATGAAAAGGATAAAGTCTCTTACTTTTAAATGTATCTTTCTTCCCTTTCTTAACATCTTATTTTTAATGATTTAAACTTCTTAAGTGACTTATCTTCTCAATAAAAATGTCATTAAATTAACATTAAATGAACAGTTCACCCAAAACTGAAAACTTACCCATATGTGCTCAAATAGGTCCAAGTCTTTGAGTTTTTTTCCTCTGTTGAACACTACAGGAGATAGTTTAAAGAAATCTGCAATCATTAACTTCCATAGTAAAGAAAACAAATATGCAAGTCAGTGGTTACAGGCTTTCAGCATTCTGCATTATTTTGTGTTTAACAAAAGAAATATAGACAAACATGTTTGTAAACCAGTGTAAAATGACAGAATTTTCATTTGTGAGGGGTGAACTATCCCTTTAAAGTGTTTGTTTTCAGCGTATACAAAGTTAAACATGGAAATGTGTCTACACTGTAAAACCCAACAGTCAACTTTATCAAATGAAATGAGTGTAAATTTAACTTCTGACTGAAAGTTAATTCTTCTCATTTGAAAAGAGTTTTGGACTCAGTGTTGAAGGTAATGAGTTGATTAAATACCTCATCATTTCAACCTAAATGGAGGAAGTTCACAGTACTCACATAGATTAGTTTTTCAACTCAAATGGATTGTGGCAGTCGGTTTCCTTAAATGGTTTGAGTTGCCTTAACTTATTGGGTTTAACAGTACTCAGTTGGTTTGAGTTCTCTTCTCAAATTGCTTCATTTACTCAAATGGATTAAGTTCACAGTACTCATTAGGATTAGTTTTTGAACTTAAATGGTTTGTTGCAATTGGTTTCCACAAATGGTTTAAGTTACCTCAACTTTTTGGCTTTTACAGTGTACCAGTATTGTTTTAGTGTTCACAGAAATAAGAATAAAAAAATATATGAAGAAATAAGACAAAAATGCCAGAATTCGTCCCTTCACAATCCCATTTGTCCTATTTTGGCTGCTATGCCATCATGAATTGTGAAAATAACTAATCGAAGAAGGTTTTAAGACAAAGAGGAATCTGACGTAAGTGATGTCATCTATCACTACTGACCTACTGCACTGAAAAAAAAAATATTAGAAGATGATTCCTTAAACTTACAGAATTTTTTAAGCAAAGTGGTTGTAAACAATTTATTTCCACTTAATTTAAACAAATTAAGATGCAGATTACTAAACTCAATTTGTTTAAGTTTAGCCCATATAAATTGTTTGCAACAATTTTGAGTCATTTTTATTTCAGTGTGTATTGTTTTAAATAGAGAAAACATTTTACTTTTATTCTAAACCTTGGACCTTATTTTTGGAGGAAAAAAAATACCAATAAAAAGGTGTGAAGCACCAAAAGTAAATTTTGAAGCAGATAAAAGTTAATTTTAATACTAATTAGGCTATTGTTGTCATCCATAAATTTTCAAATTTGC